CATGGTCAATACCCTCAAGGTGAGGTATGTTTTACTGGGGAAGGCTACACATTTTACACACCTCATCACAATGACTATAATTTTTAGTCACAAATTAAAATTTTGTTTTTTTTTTGCCACTAACAATTTGAGGTTATGAACTCAGATTCAAGATTCCATCTTGTCCATGGTCTATCATAGCTATAATAGATGACGTCTGCTGCTGCTTCTGCCCCTCTAAGACTCTAAACAGAAGTTATCGATAGAAAATGTATCCGTGTATGGACACAAACATGTTCATTAGATGTCCTGTATACACCCCTAAAACAATGTTTTATTTCTTTGCGAGAAGGATTCTCCTGAATGAAGGCCCTGAACTTCTGAGGATATATTCAAACATTGATAGGAAAAGGACCAATTTTCAGAGACCGTTAAACATATATGGCTCTCTCTGACAGCACCGCTTTTTTTTCGAAGACTTACTTTTTACTTACTGAGAGGAAACACATCACAGACAAAAACATAAATAAATGATAAAATATAAAAAGTATTTTTCTTCACAGGTCTACTGTGAGTAGTAAGACTGAGACTGCATCACCAGCTGAGATATCTACACACAAGAAGCACTGTGGAACCAGGGGAGACATGGAGCTCTCTTCTGATTCTCCAGTAAGTGGAAAAGGATATTGTTGCAGCAGTGTCCAAGTCACATGTTAGAGGTTGAATGGCTGTTTCATATTAGAGATATTAGAGATGGATGAGTACTTTTAACACATGAGCATCACATCATCATTTCCACTGAAGTCCTCGGGTTGATTCACGTTGTGTTCTAACCCTGCAATCCTATAAGGTCTTTATTATTGCCCAAGGCTGCTGCTTTTGTTTCCCAACAATTCCAAAGTCTTTAGGACAAAAACACAGATGATTTTAGCAACTTGGTTCTTTATTGTTATTTCTAAAAACCAATGTGATCCAGTTCCTTTGAGTTTTTGGTGATTCAAAATACCAGGAACTCTTGGATAGGCTGTGTTTAAAAGCCAAGAGATTAAAAAAAGAAACTTGAAACTGCACCAGTAGGAA